GCAGGAGTTTCTGTGGGTCCTGTGAGGAAGATATTTTTCTGAAGAAGAAGGTTGTAAATATTACTTGTAGTCACACTGAAAAATTACTTTGATCTGGTGGAGAATTTCTGTTGGCTGGGAGGTTTAACATTTTTACGTTGTTTCTCTTTGAGACCTTATACTGCAGTAGGCAACATGATAGTCAATACAAACATATCAAATATTTGCTCAAGAGGGAATGAATGTTTCTCTCTTCACATCAGGGATTTTTCTCCTGGAACTGAATCTCCGTGAGACAACATACTCCCTGCCTGTAATATTCTCAGCCATTTTTAGGGGGATTGATGGTACTGAAAGAATGACTTAATTTTCAGCTTAATGAGAAGTGGAACTAATTCAACATATCAAGATCCATCTATTATACAATTTATATTCCCTTCTTTTCAAGAATTTCTCGTGCATTTTAAGTCAAATACATATTACTAAACTGAGGCGGGGGGGGAAAGCAAACAAACCAACAAGAAATTCATGACTAGCAAGTGATATTCTATTGTGGTTTTCACATGGGGGAAACAGTACTATGAACAATTTTCTTTCTCTTTTTACTTAGGCCATGATCTGCTCTCAGCTACTTAACTTGGTGTCACCAACCTGCAGTGTGCCAAAGGATGGGTTTGTCATTCGTTGCCAGCTTGATATGCAGGACTGTAGTGAGCCAGGACAAAACAATTGCACTTGCTCTACGCTGTCAGAGTATTCAAGGCAATGTGCTATGTCCCATCAAATGGTGTTCAACTGGAGAACTGAAAACTTCTGCTGTAAGTTCAAATGTTTTATTCATAGGGGATTGTACTTAACCTTGTTATATCTTACACAGAGGGAGAATGATGATTAACTGGAATTTAAATCAACTGATAGAAAAGTCTCTACTGTCTTGAATCAATCAAATTATTTTCTTAAGAGAACAACAATGGTCTTTGGTAAAGCATTAAGAAGGAGAGCATGGAAACCTCAACGGAGAAGGAGGAAGCATGAAACATAGCTCTTACATCTAGATCAGTGACCATAAAAGAGAGAAACATCCACCAAGTGAAAACTGTTGAATTTCTCAGACTTCCAACAGAAGGCTATTCTTTCTTAGTACATTTTTTTCATTATTGTACTTAGCAAATTAGCCAGTGAAGAGAGAGAACTTTAAAATGGCCTCTGAAGTCTTTGAACATTTTTGCTAACAATTGCCATAGACCCTTTTATTCACAGGAGATTTTCAGTAGTCCATTTTCAGATGCTCAACCTTCCTAATTACAACTACTGATTGGAATTAAATAGGAACCAAAACTTCCATTACTCTCCAAGCTGTACATGATTCCTCAAGTGCCTGTTTGTTATCAAAGTTCTGATTCACTTTTTGCAGTCTTTTTGAATCCACCTGAAACTTCAATCTATAGTATATGTATAGTGTTATGTAGCAGGATCCATTGTTTTATGAGAGAACATGCTGATCATAAAAAAGTCAAAAGCAGCTTAAATTGATGTTGTTATTTCTAAACCAATTCACATGTTAAATTACCAGAGATGCAGCTCATGTCAAAAAAGAGAAGCTTTCAAAATTACCTTGCTTAATATGATATGGTACTTCAGAAGCATATCATTTAATCATATTTTTACTTGTCCTTTATATGTATACATGGTCATGGTAGAAAATTCGTAAAATAAATAGCTTTGACAGGAATATATTTCTCCTTATGCCTTGATTCTTACTCTGTTTCAAAAATCTTTAAGATTGGCTACCATTTAGATTTTAGCATAACAATAGTGAAATCTCAGTTGAATTATATTCCTGAAGTCATTGTTTAACTTGCCATAGTCTATCATCTCACCATTGTTACTTACAAGGCCTTGCATCATTTTGCCCTCCCTGCATCTCCAGTGCTATATTCTTCTATTCTCCTTCTGATCTTCACATACTGGTGCCACTCTTCATTTTTTGTTTTGTATTTAACATTGAGTTTTCTTTCATTATTTCCTCATACTTACTGAAAACGTTCCCTACTAAGCTCCATTGTTATCCCCAACACTTTAAAATTACACTTCCCCATCTCTTCTCCGAGGTTATCCATCTTACATAAATTGGTAACCCATTTTATTCTTTGGTTTATCTTCAATTGGTTTTAATCCTTCAAAATTTTAAACTTTTCATGGGATTTTATAGATTCAGATAAATATTAGTAAGGCACTGTGTGCATTCACAGAACCGTACAATAATTCTTACTAATCAGAGTAAAATAATAGTCTGGTTTTCTCCAAGTCATAGAAGTTTTCATGTTGCCAGTAGCCCATTACTAGGAATGGTAGTAAAGTGTTAAAAGGCAAAGCCTGGAAAAAAAAGGGAATGGGAACCCTTGTTTCCCAAAAAACCCAAAGCTGAGACTCTAAGAATTTGCAAATAAATGCCAAATATACAAAGGTAATGAAGTTTTTAGTCTTTATTGTTTCTTTGTCAGCATCATGTCTAACTACCTCTATTTCCCTACCTCACTTATTTTTACTCTTTCAGATAAGGAAAAATCTCTGATTGAATTTATCACATAATAAAACATGTTCTGAGTTCAATGCTATGTAGCAGCGTTCTGAAAAGCAGATAATGTCTGAGAAGCAGGAACTATACAGAAGAGCAAGAGTTATATTCTTTAAATCCTTCAAGTACTACAGAAAATCTGGTTTTTGGTAGTTTATTAGGCTGCAATATAGCCTGTTTGCCATTTTTCAGGCTTCTGAAAGGAGCTTCCAATATATAGGGCATGAAAAACGAATGAAAGCTAGAGTGAATATAATGGTAATGATGAATACTCCAAGGATGATGAATTGAGCATTGAGGCAGGATAAGAGAATGTTAGTGCCAGAAATCACAAGGTCTTCTCTATCCTAGGTGATAGATGAGAGATTCTTCTATGTTTACACTTTAAAAATCTTACCACTTTCACTGTTTGTTGCAGCTGTGGGAAAATGTTCTGCTAACCAAATCTATGAGGAATGTGGTTCTCCATGTATTAAAACCTGTTCCAACCCAGAATACAGCTGTTCCAGTCACTGTACCTATGGTTGCTTTTGTCCAGAAGGTATCATTTCTGTGTTCATCATATCCTAAATGGCCCATACAAATGTTTTTGGCATATAACCAGTCCAGTGGAATAGACTTCTTAATAATGAACTAGCAGTGCATTACAGGGCATTGTGCTGTTAGAACTGCCATTTCTTGGGTAATATAACTGGAGTCTTGAATAGTCATGGTCCTTAAAGATCCTTGGTCACTATTTGCAAGAACAGAGCTGTGAAAGCATTTTCCTCACAAGACCATGATACATGATGGGATAATTATATGCTGCCCGCTTAAAGTTCTGTACTGTAATATACATTGAGTAAGCTTAATTAATTTCCTACCCCAAACAGGTATCTAGCCTTTCAGGGCACCAGCAAGAGGTAGCATACCTCAGAGTAGTTCTGCAATATTATAAGCATTTTGTAAAATCCCTTTAAAATAGTTCAAGATTAACTTCCTACAAAAAATTTTAATTATGACTATCATTTGCATCGTTTCTTGACATTTCAGAGCTGAAATATCCTCCAAGGTTACTGTGACATGGGTATTTACATTAATATCATCACCATTTTGTAGTAGTCAAAAGTAACGTGTTGTGAGCTACATATTTAAAACTAGACTTAGTACTCTAGGAAAGAGAATGTGTCCATTCTTCAAAATTCCCTAGTTAATTAGAGTGTCATAGCAAAATAAAAATTTGAAAAAATAACATTCAAGCTTACTGTTATTTCAAATTAAGTCCAGGTTTAAAATGAAGACAATTGTCTGCACTTTCATATAACAAAGTAGCCAAACACTGTTACAGTCAGTTTTTTTTAATTAAGAGAAAATGTCCTGCACGTTATAGCTCTATGTATGGGCACTGGTTGTGCAAGAATAGCATTCTCAAGCTAATTTTGGAAGGCATTCAAGCTATAATAGCTTTAGTGCTAAGTAAGAATACGGAAAGTATTTTGTTTATCTTCTTTGGCAGGAACTGTTCTTGATGACATTTCAAAGAATCGAACATGTGTTCACATTACCCAGTGTCCGTGTACACTGAATGGGAAAACATATGCTCCTGGTGAGACAATGAAAGCAGCATGTAGGACCTGGTGAGTAGCCACAAGTATTTTCATGAGAGGATGGAGAGTATCCTCACCAAGCAATTGGAAAATTTAGCCTGACTTTTCAGAGGGCAGCTGCAAATGTGTCATACCATCTCTGAGGCCACCTTCTTTGAGTGCCACAAATCGTACTTTTGTAATTGAAGATGTACATGTCTCATTTCCTGATTAACCTGTACAAACATAAGTGTTCCTTCAGGCCACATAAAACAGTAGCATTTTTATCTCCCCTGTGAAAGTGGAGGTAAAATTAGTACAAAACAAATATCCAGTATTTAAAATTTCTTTCTAGCAATCTCAGCGTTTCTGATCACCAAATCAGTGCTGAAAACTGAATTTCTGTTTTGCAACAGAAAATAATTACTTAAGACAAAATTTTTTAAGTTTGTATTTCTTTTAAAAAAAAAAAGTTGAATAATTTTTTTTGTGTTATTTCTCTTGCTATCACAATTCTAATAAATAAAATAAAGGATAAGTAATGGAATTGTTCTTCAGAACTGTAACAGTGAATGCACTTTTCATGATTAATCTATTCAGGAAAGTTTACTGACAATCCATACAAGGGTTCAGCAACTTTGAATTAAGATGAACAAGTTCAACTGATATACATAAAGAAAATCAAACCATAGAAAGTATAAGGGAAAAAGTGATACAAATAACATCTTCTATTACTAGGAAGTGTCTGAGTTTTTAGAGAATAACGAAAAGAAAACAGTGAAAACGGAAGTTCAGAATGTGTATGTATGTTACACTGTGTTCACTAACCAGTTTTGCATGTTGATCAGCTACAGCAAAACCTCCAGCCAGGAGGATCAAAGCCTCTGCTGGTCAATAGTGCCTTAGTGTGAGAATAACCTTACACAGAATTTCTTGTTTTCCTCAGTAAATGTACGATGGGTCAATGGAACTGCAAAGACTTGCCCTGCCCTGGAAGGTGTTCACTGGAAGGAGGTTCCTTTGTTACCACATTTGATTCTAGATCATACAGGTTCCATGGGGTTTGCACTTACGTTCTTATGAAGGTAATTTCCTGCAGTCTAGAAACACACAATATCAAATGGATATATTTTAGTCTGTCTTTGGTTTCCTATTGGAATACAAACTGAGGTCTTCCTATGATGTACATTTATTCTACAAATCATTGTTATTCTGACACAGACTTCCCTTTTCACTATTTTCCTCCAGAGTTCCAGCCTACCACACAATGGAACCATAATGGCTGTGTATGAAAAGTCTGGTTATTCTCATTCTGAGACGTCACTTAGTGCTGTAATTTACCTATCTACAAAGGTAAGTATTCCCTCCACAGGTTCTATCCAGCATCTCAGTAACCAGATTAGTAAAATAAATACTTAAAGTCATTGCTAGTAGCCTGAACTGAAAAATTATAGGGGATGGGTACTAAAGATATGTTCCAGTTCATGCATATACAATAAACACCTCAGCTGCCACATCAACTCAGGAAGTTAGAGTATTTTCAAAGTGAAAACTGAAAGCAGTATGGAATAACGTCAAAAAAAGCTTGAATCAATCTTTTCCTATTATATAGGTTATTGACAGTACAGTTGCTTAAATTAAAGAACATATGAGTACCATCAGTACAGATAATTACTTTTGATTCCGTGTCCTTTTCTTACAGGACAAAATTGTGATTTCTCAGAATGAACTCCTTACTGACGATGATGAGCTTAAGCGGCTACCTTACAGATCAGGTAAAGAAAAGCGAATATACGTAAAATCCAAATTACATTAAATGTCTGTTTTACACAACTCAGAATATTTTCTCTTGTAATTGCCAATAGCAGAAGTTTTAGAGGAAGGTTAAAATCTTTCCCATTGCGTCTGTCCCTCTGTGGAGAGTTGCGTGTGGAAAGAGAAGACTTGTACACAGAATGCTAAAACACTTACATATGCATTAAAATCGTTACTTTGCAATATCCTATGCATCAAAATCTCTATTACTAAGTATCCTTGTTCTTTTAGGAGACATCACTGTTTTCAGACAGTCCTCGATGTACATTCAAATGTATACAACCTTCGGGCTGGAACTTTTAGTTCAAACATCACCTGTGTTCCAGGCCTATGTGAAAGTTGGATCACAATTCAAAGGCAGAACCCTAGGTAAGAAATGTAGTCCCCATGTGAAGGAGAAAATGTAGGCAGTGTAATTTTGAAAGCTTAGTGCTCATCCTTTAAGGAATAAACTTTCTTCTCTGGATTCAAAGAAAAAACAACAAAAATACCTGCATTGGAAAACCAATGTGCTAAGATTTTTTTTTTTTTTTTTTGCTAATAACTTTAAAACGAATCAAAGAAATTAGATGAGTGACATTTCTCATGTGTAATATAATACTGTTCTTCACATGTTTTATGTGTGCCTTTTGCAATATGTGCTTTACTACACAATGAAGGGGCAACAAATTAGCCTGTGTGGTCTCTACATCTTGGAGCACATGGTTCTTTGAACACAGTGCACGATTGCTGTAAACACAATGAGCCTAAGAATCTAAAAAATCAGGGGATAAGCACCAGATGGAGATGTTTATGTTTATTGCACAGCAACATTAGCCACAAAGGCATATCCTGCATTCTGAATATCTATGGGCAATTACAGAGAAGATTTAGCTTCTCTGTAAAAAGTCTAAATGTATATTCTTTGTCATTATAGATTCTATATACATAAGAAAATGTGTAACTGCAAAAATATTTCATAGCCTTTCTCTTTTACATGATTTAAAAACACTGACAAAGCCTTTTTTTCTAAAAACAAGAAAAAAACTTCTGTATGAATCTGTCATTGAATAGAAGTGGACAATCTTAACTTGAGAAGGCAGAGGTTCAGTGACTGAGTGTGTGCATAATCACAATTCTCTGGCTCCGTGGCCTATAGTATTCATTGACACTCCATGTAGAACTTTAAATCAATTTTCTCACCATTATAGAATGAAACATAGGCCATTCTGTACACATTCTTTAATTATTCAGCCATCCCTTGCATTTCTGATGTTATTAGGTTTGTGTGGCAATTACAATGGAGACACTACAGATGACTTCATGACTAGCATGGATATTGCTGAAGGGACAGCCTCCCTGTTTGTAGATTCCTGGAGGGCAGGAAATTGCCATCCCGCTTTAGAGAGAGATACTGACCCTTGCGCTTTGAGTCAACTGAACAGTAAGTATATGATGTTGTACCTGATCTCTCCAGCTGGCTTTGTCTGATGCTTCCATAAGCCTATACCAGGGGAATGAGAGAGTTTGAGAGAAGCAAAGATTGAGACGAATGAACATCACAAATTCTGTCACCAACAAGACATTTTGGATTTCTAGAATACTTATTTAGCTTATCAGATCCCATTCTAGAGATCTGGTATTGAGATGATCAATGAGAGGTTTTGGGTGATATTTCCAGTGGAATTGCAATGTCCATGGATGTCTTAGATTTGCTCAGCAGTGACTGAAATCCAGGCTTTGCCTTCTCAAGTCTCTTTTGCTGTTGGTCTTAAAAATAAAAAAAAGTAAAAAAAAAAAAGCCTGCTGAGCTGTTTGAACAAAAGTATAGTCTGCAAGCCAACAAGCTAAGAAGTTGTCCTTTTATTCAATCCATTGTTACCAAAAGCTCAGCTAGAGTAGTGTGTCCAGGTTTTTTTTTTCATTTCTTGTTCATTTTTTAATTTCTTTTTCCTAACTTTCTTTGTTTAATGTCCTTGATATACTTTCATTAGAAGTATCTGCTGAGACTCATTGCTCCATTCTTACCAAGAAGGGTACAGTGTTCGAGAAGTGCCATGCTGTGGTGAACCCTATTCCTTTCTACAAGGTAGGAAATTATGATAAGCGATGTACAGAAAGAGTCCAAATATCGACCAGAATGTACTCATATCCCACTCATTTGGATCAGCAATGCATAGAAGCTAAGGAACAAGTGTGGTTTTCAACATTATGTCTCCCCCACACTAAAAGTCTGTTTGTTCATAGTCACCAGTCCCATCCCTAAGAATAAGAAGGTATTTTTACTCATGTTGCAGTTCTCCATGTCAACTATGCAAAGTGTTGATTTTCCCATGTGCATAATTGAGCTCATTATATTTGCTAATCTCCACAAAACATTTTGAAAATTAAAAATGAAAAGCAGAGAATAAACAGAGGCAATTTTTAGGTACTAAGTATATTTTATTCATGTCAATCAGGCAATTAATCTTTTTCATCAGTTTTAGTTATGCAGTAAAATGTATTTGCATTACTTACCTCTGCAATTCAGCATAGAATCATAGAATCACAGAATTTTTTAGGTTACAAAAGACCTTTAAGATCATCAAGTCCAACCATAAACCTAACACTGCCGAGTCCACCACTAAACCATGCCCCTAAGCACCACATCTACACATCTTTAGCATTTAGCATTTCCAAATGTCTGCTCCCCAGTAACAGAGTACTCTCCATGTGTTGGGTTTCAGAGATGTGTCTACCAAGCCTGTAATTATGAAGAGACCTTTCCTTATATTTGTTCTGCTCTGGGATCGTATGCACGAACATGCAGTTCAATGGGTTTAATCCTTGAGAACTGGAGAAACAGTATGGACAACTGTAGTAAGTAACTGAACCAACTCTTTAATAGTCTGACATAAGGTTAATGCATGCATACAGGTCTATCTGTTTCCATTTAGAATATTCCCATGTTTGATTCACCTATGAAAAAACTGAGTAAAAGCAAGAATATATTTTAAAACTACTTGCCAGTCATTAGAAAATCATAGAATAACTACTTATTGCTCAAGAAGGCCAACCAGCAGCTGTAAAAGCCATATTCCCAGGAGCTGCTGACTTCACAGATGTGTCATAAGACAACAAAAAAACATAAATTGTAAAGCAATATTCTAAACAGTGTCCAAATCATCTTAAGAGGAATGAGGAAAGTAGTGAACAGAAAGAAGAGGAAAGCAGAAATGGGATAACAGGTATCTAATTTTTGAATACCCTTCTAGTTTGTTTCAGAAAAGGATTGTTATTTTAAGACTACATGAAAAAGATTACTCATATGCTTTAATGTGAGCATGTGGATGCTTCCAGGACTTGATAATTAAGTGATGGAATAGACAGATCAATAAAACTGTACTGTACCATAAGATGAGAAAGAGCTAGGAAAAACTCTGGTTGCAGATGTGATTTTGCTGTTATGCAACTTAGACATAGGCAGAGGTTTCAGAGTTACTCAAAAATACATTGGTATTTCTGCAAAGCTTCTCTTTGCATTATTTTATTCCAAGTTCACAAAGAAGCTATAAGATATTTAAACTTCATAAAACTTCCAAACAGCTACATGGTTGGCGTTAAGCCCTGGTCTGCAATATTTTTTGCTAGAGCTCCACATCCACAGGAAGAGAAGCAATATGAAGCATTAAGCATTGAAGCCTTTGACACAATATATGGAGCATATTATGAGCACAGTTATCTTTCACAAGGAAGAGGATAATTAAGTTTAACATACACTCTTGTCTTGTTTTACAGCCATTACTTGTACTGGCAATCAAACATTCAGCTACAACACTCAGGCATGTGACAGGACATGCTTGTCACTCTCCAGCCGAGCCCTGGAATGTCATCCAACTGACATCCCTATTGAAGGCTGCCATTGTCCGAAAGGAATGTACTTGAACCACAAGAATGAGTGTGTTCGTAAATCTCATTGTCCCTGCTATTTAGAAGATAGAAAGTACATCTTGCCTGACCAGTCAACAATAACTGGTGGGATTACCTGGTAAGTGTGTCAAGTTTAAAGATTAACAAACTGAAAATGAAGACAACAAACTGAAAATGGAGACAAGGGGTCCTCATGTGTCATGTGTTGAGGGTTAACAGCAGTAAGCAGCTAAGCATCACACAGTGGCTTGCTTGCTCCACTTCAGCCAGATGTGGAAAAGAATTAGAAGGGTAAAAGCAAGAAAATATGTGGGTTGAGATAAAGACAATTTAATAACTTTATTATTAATAAGCAAAAATAAGCTTATTTAATAAGTGGCATGCACAATCTAAGCTAAGTAAGGAATTAATTCACTACTTCCTGTCAGCAGGTAGATCTTTAGGCATTTCCAGGAAAGCATGACTTTGTCATGCATAACGGTTACTTGGGAAGACAAGCGCTGTAACTCTGAACATCCTTCCTTCCTCCTGCTTTACCTGAGCTGAGCATGATGTTGTATAGGATGGAATATCTCTTCGGTCAGTTGAGGTCAGCTGTCCTGGCTGTGTCCCCTCCCAGCTTCTTGTAGAATGGTCATAGAATGCTTTTTTGGGTTGGAAGGGACCTTGAGAGATCATCGAGCCCAACCCCCCTGCAGTAAGCAGGGACTGAACCCTCCCAGCTTACTCACTGGTGGGGCAGCATGAGAAGCAGAGACAACCGTGACACTGTTCAGCAATAGCTAAAACAACGTCATGTTATCGACACTGTTTTGGTCACAAATCTAAAACATAGCACCATCAAGCTGCTACAAAGAAAATTAACTCCATTACAGCCAAAACCATTACAGTCACCTTTACTTTTAATAGCAAAGGTTTATTTTTTAAGACAACTTTTTTGCCCTTTCCTAAAATACAAAGATTCTTAAACGAACAAAAAGCATTACCTTAAGCTTGGAAATGTTAAGGAAAAATTAGAAAATAATAGGTAAGATCTGATTATTCCTAGTAGATTTTGTCAACAGCATCTGGACAGCAATATACAACCCTCAAGAATGACTTGATAGGCCATCATAGTAGTGAATGGCCTACTATTCACTTTCAAAACCGATGTTACTGTATACTACAAAAAGTAAAGAGAGGCAAGTTGATTCACATTCCATTTTGAAGGATGGGGAGGAGCTAGTAACATAAATGAAACATTTCCAATGGTGAGAAACATGAAGTCATTTTGCAAAAACTTAAGATTTCTTTCTTAGGAGAGAATTGCATTGAAATTCCTTTTTTCCTCCCCCCCCCCAGCTACTGCGTTAATGGGAGGCTGAGTTGCACAGGCAAACCTCAAAATCCTGCAGGTATGGGTCTGATATGGTTTACTTAGAAACATATTCTTTCCCCTGATGTTGTAAAATAGCTACTTCACAATCTCGCCAATGTTTGTTTTTCTTCCTTTTTCCTAGAAAGCTGCAAAACTCCTAAGAAATATGTATCATGTTCTGACAGTTTAGAAAACAAGTATGGAGCTGCATGTGCCCCTACCTGTCAGATGCTGGCTACTGGAATTGAATGTGTGAGTTTCACAGCTCTGGGATATTTACCCTCTTGAGAGAGGAAGAATGTTCTAGTGGTTACTTAGAACTTGACTACATTCCTTCTAGTGAAATGAAATGAGATATTTCTTTTAACATGATACAGTTAAATATCAGTCTACCTTCCGAAGACTGCAGACACTAAAAACTTACATATATTCAAGAAGTAATTAAAGGAATTAAATTGCATGAATTAATGAATTAAATTCTATTAAATTAATAGAATGAAAATCCATTAAGGATTCTTAACTACATGGCCATCACCTCTGCCTCAGGTACTCCATAAGCTACATGTCACTGGAAACTTATGGAACATGTGGTTTATGCTTCCTGTTCTATTTTTTCCCAACTATCTGCTGCTGATGGTTGCAGGATGCAGGAGACCTAGGCTAGGTGGACTTCTGGTCTGTCCTGATAGGGTTTTCTTATGCCTTTATATTAAGGAAACAGACTAATTGGAAGAATTGTAATAAGCTGCCTTGATATAAAGAAGCTTCTATTGTACTCTGTCTGAAAGATTGGTAGCAATGAAAGATAAATTTTTCAGAGTCTTCAAGTATGTTTAATATCTCACACAACAGGTATATCTTACAACTTCAGTGAAACTAGTTCAATTGACTAGTATATTAGTAAAAGGAAAATCACAAAACTGAAATCAAGTCAAAACTATAATGTAACATAGGTTCACTCTTGACACCGCTCACATACAAGATACAATGCATCTCACGTTTCTTTTCATTTTGCAATCTGTTGATCTTTACCAGATACCCACTAAATGTGAATCAGGCTGTATCTGTGCTGATGGGCTATATGAAAATCTCGATGGCAGGTGTGTTCCAGCTGAGGAGTGTCCATGTGAATATGGTGGTCTTGCTTATGGAAAAGGTGAACAGATCCAAACTGAATGCGAGATCTGGTAAGAATCACACAGTTTTCCATTGTGGAACCTGTGTTTCACTAAACTGTACAACTACACAACAAAAGGATTTAGTTGACAGGAGAGTAGGAAACGGCAACAGCTAAATGGAAGGAATACAGTGACAAAGCACAGAGATGATAAAAAGAAGTTTAACATTTGACAATATATATGTATAGATAAAAGAGTCATGGTACATTTCTGCCACATGCATATCCAGAAATAAGGGCATCCAGTAGGGCCTGTAACTGCAAGCTACATAAAGTCAAGGATTAACAGCTCCATCTAAATAAAGATAAGGGCACAATCTTCCTTCATTTCTGTAGGTAAAAGCAACCCCCACAAAAGATTGTTTCCACCTCTTTAGCAGCATTCTCAAAGTACTTTATTCCCTTTCCAGTTACTAATCTAGTATTAAAAAACCACCACCACCACCCAAACTACACAGAACAGTGACATCTGTTCTCATTAAGAGCAAAAATAAATGTGTTTTATATTCTTTCTTTCATGAAAAAAGAAAGCAACAAATTACTTAAGATTTCTTCTTTACCGTGAATTAATTTGCTAGGAAGTCCACAATTTTCAGTTATGGTTCTTATATTAATTGTAACTTTGTCACAGTGTACACAAGTCAATTAAATTAACATCTTATCTATAAAAGTGCATGCATATAAAAAGAAGCAGGTTAAGGTGGCATTTCTTTGAAATCTGAGTATGGTTTCTCTTCTCACTCCCAGCACTTGCACAAAAGGCAAATGGAAATGTGTTCAGAAATCAAAGTGTTCCTCAACATGTAATCTGTATGGAGAAGGCCACATCACCACTTTTGATGGACAGCGTTTTGTGTTTGATGGCAACTGTGAATACATATTAGCTATGGTAATCTGCTTCTTACTGCTTATTTTGGCAGTATCTTAGCATCAAGAAATAGCTTGATTTAAATGGCTAATGAAAATATCCTAGGATGCATCTTTAACCAATAGAATACTTTGAATCTTTATAAATATTTAATGTATTTTTATATTTTCTGCTTATTTCAATATTTAAGATGAAAAGACTTTACTTCTCAAAACACATTTTTTTCATGCAATTACAACCAATTTTAGATTTAGTAACATGTTTAAATAGTCATTGATATGTATGTATTCTGTACCAGCCAACTACATCTTTTAGGGAAGTGATGTCAGTTTGACTACCAAATCAGAGGTCATCACCTTTCTTTACTTTTTATGCATTTATGTTTTAAGCTGGAAGACTCCAGACACAGAGTCTATTGGGGTTTTGTGCTTTTTGTGGTTTGGTTTGTTTTTTTTAGGATGGCTGCAGTCTTAGTAGACCTGTTTCCTCTTTCAAAATTGTTACCGAGAATGTCATCTGTGGGAAATCAGGGGTTACATGCTCCAGATCCATCAGCATTTACCTTGGGGTAAGATCTTCATTCTGCTGTTAGCCAGCTGAATAGCTATTTTAAGTGCATGTTTGCTTCCCTTTCAGAAGCTTTAGCTGTGTCTTTGAAGTGATGCCTTGTAAGTGAAATTATGTGCTAAACCTACAGCTTCAGTTTTAGTAGGAATTGCCTTCAGGTTTTTTTCAATTCTCATGTCATTGTTTCGGTCCTCAAACTTCTTGCCTATGTACAAGCTGCAAAATTTTGAACTTTACTGACTCAGCAGTGAATTGCTCTGTCAAAAGATACTGATTCCCCCACCTC